AGAGGTGGGGGAGTGTATTCATTCCCCCTTGTTTACTTGATTTGGTTTTATATTTTTTCCTAGAGCACCCATTGCAACTCACCGTAAGGGCGTTTAGCCTGATCCAAAATGGTTGTTCAGCGCTGCGGTGCTTGTGAGAGGCGAGGGGTCTGTCCATCAGCTCTCTTGCTTTTTATGGTCTGATGTGAAGTTCAGTGGTTGGGCTCTGCTCCGCGCCCCGGTATCACTTGGTGCAACGGGGTCGTGCTTTCAGTGCTCCCAGGGGAACTTAGGGAAACACGTATGCTGTTACTGCTACTAATAAAAAAAGGCTTAATTAAGTTTTAATCTGTTAGCATTATTGCTTTAAGGCTTTCTACATTGCTTTTTGAATATTGTTATTTCTTGCCAAGGAAAATTCTATTGATGTATGCAGGGATGCAACACTAGAAAACGTCACGTATCGGGACGTACCTGAACGACCTTGTCCTGCCAGCGTTATAGCAGCGGTTGATAGCATGAGGGTGAGATTGATTTCCCATAGATGAGACCTGACAGGCTTTAACTGCTCGAGGCAAACAGCTACACGCACAGCACTTCATCCTGCAGCTCTTCCTCTTGCCGTACTGCTGTAGTTACGCCACCACTGTAAGGACTTCACTGAAATTACCCCCCGGAATAAAAAAAGATGGGGGGGAGAGAACGGGGGGATGTCTGGCCAGGAAGGAGGGGCTCAGGTAGACTCGGGGGCAGGCAGGGCAGTGCAGCGGGGCTGCCGAGCGGTGCGTGCAGATGTCCTCAGATGACTCGGTGAGTTATTTATTCTCCTCTCCCTCTGCATGCATAATTTCCACTGCCATAAACACGTGTTAGGCATGAGTGGAGAGGAGGAAAGGGGAAGAGGCTTTTTAGTATTGAACTTTGTAGTTACTTTTGCGCATAGCCAGGCACAGTAAATACCCCATAGTTACAGATGTCCAAATTTAACCATGGATGTGGACAACTCCCTTCACTGAGCAATTACATGCTTGTTTTTATAGCAGTCTTTTGGACATTTGAATCATTCACGGTGGTTGTTGCTTTACCAGAGATTAGAGGCTTTTAGAAGTCTGGGTCTCCTAAAGTGGTCTAGAGCTGCTTGTTTTGTAAAATGCTCTCTGCATGCAGAAGGAAAATACATATTCTATAGGAAACTGGCCAGGACGCAGGACATGAGCGGGGAAAATGTCTATGATGACTTTACATCCTCTGACACTAAAGGCGAGAGGCCCGAGGGGCTGCTGCGTTGGCCACCCTGCCCACTAATAGACTTGAATGCTGTGTTGGTGGCTTCTGCATGCAACCTCTCGCCCAGCGGTGCTGGGAGCCGTTCAGCAGCTGTGATGGGTATGAGCTGAGGGACTGTCGTCTTGCTGGTTGGAGAGGCTGGTCGTTAGGAAGAAGGTGGTTTTGGGAGCGACACGTTCCACCATTTCAAAATCACTTGCGCCTTGTTGGAGGGTTGAACTTGCCTGCTCTGTGGTGTGGTGCATGGGATGGGTGAGCGCCCAAGTCCTCTGAAAGAAGGATTTATTCTGTGGGATGTGGTTGTATATGTAGATCCACTAGATCACGTGGCGGATGGTCTCCTGCAGCTATACCCGAGCCCGAGGTGTAGCTGACGTTGTGCCATGCTCTCCCTCTCCTTTTTGCTTGAGATGGCATTGGGTAATGGGAAGAGCAGTACCCAGAGGAGCTGATGGTGTATTAAAAGTAATCCAGGCCTCGCTGAAGTCAGTTTTCTGCTTAGTAATGCTTAGATTTGTTATAACGTAGTGTGAGGTGAATATAAGCATGGATGAGGATATGCAGCATCTGGAGAAATTGGCAGGGTAATGCAGCGAAGTCATGTGGGAAAACATGAGATTTGAGGAATGTTTTAAATATGAATGATGCTTTAAAAAAAGAGAGAAAGAATTTGTGACGTCTTTTAATGAAAAGTGTGTCTGTAAGATGGAAGTTGCCACGCTGCATATGAGATACTGATTGCTGGAGAGCAGGAGATGGAGGCCAAGTACAGCTCAAAGAAGGCTCAAGGTTGGCCATGGGTGGATCCACCAATGCAGGCAGCATGGAGACTTCCCCTACCACCCACGAAAACACGAATGCCTGACCTTATTTGGCCTTCCTGGACCATTTCAGAATTGCGGTCTCTCTGGAGGCAGACAAACCACAGGGATGTACAGCAGTGTCCCACTTGGTGGCTTTGCAGGCCACTTTCAGGCGTCCCCTATTCCTGGTGCAAAGGGCTGGTTTGCTCTTGGCTGCATGTGGGCTTCTCGCTGCATGGGAGAGCAACAGGAGGGAAATTACCCCATGCTGATCCTTGAAGGGAACCGTAACAAAACCAAAAACTACATGAGCTAAATAGGGAACATATTCTCTTAAATTTTGGTAAATGTGAGTGCATGAACTTAAAGGTCATCAGCTGCTGGGCTTCTAATGGAGCAGCTGGTATGAAGCTGGTAACTGGATTTTTTTCTTTAGGTGATTTACTTACATGTTCATCACCCACTTACAAACCCTGCTCTTCCCTTACCATGCCTTGGAAGTTCTCCTGTACATGCTGAGTGCCAAGGCAGGATCCTTTGCCAGTTGAGATGTTTGGCCCCAATCCAGGAAAATACTTAAGCATATGCTTAAACCTAGATCAAGGAGATGTCCTTTTGAATTTAAAGGTGGGCAAATTCTGTAATACTGTAAGGACTTTGTTGTTGTTGTTAATTCTCACATGAAGCTGCAGGAGGCTTGGGCTCAGTGAAGCAACTGGCTCTTGATCTTTCTTCTGGGGAAGAAGGATGAACTGGTTGACCTCTTGAAGTTCTTCTCGTCTGCATTTCCTATGGTGGATAACATGGCTATTGAAATTGTGCAGTGATGATTGAGTGTTTGGAAGGGATATTAAACCTCTGCACATCAGCTCTCACTTCTGGAGATCAAAATGACATCTTGTGTGTGGGAAAGAGGCAAATTATCTCCCAGCTGCAGGGTTCCTCCATCTTGCTGTCATGTGTTTCTGGTTGCCCACTGACAGAGGCAGGATGCTGAACTTGATGGACCAATGTTCTGATTCAGTCTGGCAATTCCTGTGGTCCCCTGAGTCCTGTTGACTTCAGTGAGAATTAAACACACGTTTAAGTGCTTCCCTAGAAAGGCAGGCTTTTCTGCGCCTGTCGCTCTGCCCAGCTGCTTGAAGCTCTGCAGTTTCTGTTAAGTGCTTGGATCAGCCCTACCACATCCTTTTTTGTGTTTTAATGGGAAAATCGTAATTTATAGTGTGCGCTTCCATTTTAAAAATAAATCCAAGCTGCCTTAAAGTCAGGCCGTGCTCTGTGTCGCAGTTATGCCATCGGCTTGGAGGTTTCCATTAGTGTCTGTGGAGGGGATGCATACACAAATGGCTGGGAGAACAAAGCAGAAAAAAAAAAAGAAACAACCCGTGAGCTTTATGCCTGGCTTTGCTTCTAAACCTGTGTGGCAAGAGTATGGAGAGGAATACATTGTGTGGCTTGCAGCCCTTTGAAGTGGCTGGGTTCAGTACTGACAGGATGGCTTCCCTTATCTCCACTCCTACAAAGAGGGCTGGGAAATATGCCTGTGATGTGGGACACTTGCATTTCAAGCCTTGATCAGGTTGACAGCTTTTTCCCTTTTTTTTTTTTTTTTTTTTTTTTTTTGCCCCCCAGCGGTTAATCAACAAAGCCAGTTGAAAGCAGGGAAATGCTCTGCCCCTTTTTTAGGGGTAAATGAAGTGGTAGGGTAACAGCTGTGTTTGGGTGCTGCTGCCGATCCACTGCTCCGGGGTGATCTGATGGGTGGGAAGTTCACAGACTGCCCGTCCCTTCCTGTGTCATTACATCCATGCGGAGGCTTTGGCAATAGCTGGCGTTTGTCTTGCATCCAGTCTGCGCTCAAAACGAGAGTCCCAGGTACATGCGTTGGTCGCAGTCCCCTCTAGTAGACTCCACTGTGTGTCCCCCAAATGCACTTGTTAGCAGGGCCTGATCCTATCCTTCAGAAAGCATCTAACTTGGAAACTGCAAATTTAATTTCTTTGTTCTGAGGCGAGTGTGCCCCAGATGAGGCTTTGATCTGGGAAGCTCAGCTGAGTCTGACCTGGTCTGTGCAGGGACCCCGGGGACCAGCTGGCTCTGATTTGCAAGTCAGATGGCTGCTGCTGTATGGGAATGGCTTGCTTGATCTAGAGCTCAGTTCTGCCTTTTAGGAGTGGCTTGTTTTGTGCCAATTGAGCTTTGCTAGGAAATGCTTATATGGCTGAACTAAACCCAGTAAAAAAAAAAAAAAAAAAAAATAAATTTTTGGGGACAATTCAGATTTGGATGCCAGGATGCTTGCTTCTCAGGACTTCAGAATATTATCTACCCTTTGGAAAATGAGCCCTTTAAAAAAGCTGAGAGTGGCACATATCAAACAACAAACAGTCCTTGAACAATAAACTGTGCCTTTTTATTCAATACAGGAAGCAAAATGGCTACAAATGGTGATACTGAAGTGTAGCATGAGAAAGCGGATAAACACCGTTCCCCGAGCAAGGCATCACTTTGGCATGGCGAGCGGGGTGCTGCCCCGGGGGCTGGTCAGTTGGTTGCACAGAGTCATGTTTTCAGGAGTTACTGCCCAAAAAGCTGTGAGTTATAATAACTCATTAGCCCTGAGCTTCTGGTCTGTTTAGACCCTGTGAATTAATGGTTAGCGGCATGTCTCAACATGGGAGAGGAATGAGAGTAAGATGGGAAGAGGCAGTTATTTCTAGATGAAGAACATAATTTTGAGCTAAAGGGACCTCTGCAATTAACTTCTCCGTTGCCTGTCCCAGATGTTTTCCTTGTTCTAGAGTCTGGTCCCCTGACTTCTAAACCAGGCATATAATCGGTGGTCTTTGACAGCATTTTGTGCCTTAGCAAAACCAGGAGCAATACCTGTGCATGATCATGTAAAATTTTCTTTTTTCCTCTACACAGGCACCCTCCAGAGGGATCGAATTTTTAAGAACCTCACTCGGAAACGCCAGCGGGCGATGCGAAGGCGAGTGCATCAGGTTAACGGGCACAAATTCATGGCAACTTACCTGCGACAGCCTACGTACTGCTCACACTGCAGGGAGTTCATCTGGTAAGAACGGCTGGAACGCGGTGGTGCGCAGCTTCCCATCCCTTTGCATTTTGGGGACTGACATGCCACCCCCTGATCCTGAATCAGTCACTCAGCACTTCACCAAGGGCCACCAATGTGACTCCCCTTGGCCATCAGGTTTAGCAGGGTACATTTATGCTGCAAACTGGAGTCTGCTGCAGAGAGGCCAGAGGTGATGTGTGTCTAGGATGCTGGAAGCAAACTGGGAGGGTGTGGGGATGGGGCAGTGTCCCTCGCTTGTGAGCGTGGATATTACTTCAGGGAGGAAAAAAGTAACCCAAGCAATCTGGAGAAAGACCCCATATACTAACTTGACTGGAGCTTTGAGATGACACTGAGAAAAAACAGTTGCTTGAAAGACAAGAGAAAATGCCTGAGAACAGAAAAACCATCAGAGGTGTGAGGTGTGGAGTGATACATGTGGGGGAGTAGGCAGAAAAACTTAAGGTATGTCTCAAAAGAGTGTGGAGTGGGAGAGATAATAACAGGGTGTGGGCTGCTGGGATCAGTCTAATAAATGTGGTGTGTGTTGCAATAAAGTGAGGTATTTCAGAAATTAGAGTGAGGGGGCATAACACACATGCTGACAGCCTGTCCTGTAAGCTGCGGCCCTTGCAGCGCTTCGTTACACTCTCACACCCCTGTGCTGAACTGCACCATTATTGCTGGGCAGTTTTGCCCTGGGGATGTGGTCATTTTGGGATCTTCTTGCATTTTGGCCCTCTCTTCTGTGAACGATCTGCAAGAAGACAGGCTTTCTGATGTTGAATTACGTTCATATTTTGTCTTGAACAGGGGCGTGTTTGGGAAGCAGGGATACCAGTGCCAAGGTAAGGTGCTCTGCTCCTGCACAGTGCGTGCGTAGGGTGTGCTGTCTCAGAGGCACTCTCCTCTGCTGCTGGGACATCCTGTGGTTACAAGCTCCTCTGAAGTCACCACTCCTCTTCCTCCCCAGCTAGCCAAAACTGTGCATTCGAGCAGCCGTCAGGCTGACGGCGTGCATGCACGCAGGAGCAGCCGCCTACATTCGTGCAAACACCCAGGGGTCCGGCTGCTGCGTTTCACCCGCAGTGTTCCTCCTGTGCAGACCCACTGAGTTGCTGAGTACATGCAACACCCAGCTTGGCTTGAGAGATCCGGGGTCCCTTCAGGACAGTGTTCAGCTGGTACTGGAACACAAAGGATCCTGCTGGAATGGCCACCCTCTTCCTTTCTCCACCTATGTAGCTCAACAAAGTGAAACTAGGGATGTGACTTCAAAGGGCAGCCTTGTGGGCTGGCGCAGCACTTTTGTCTGAATGCATGTTTTGGCTGAATGGCTGTATAGATGTATGCAGTGCTTGTCGGCACTTAATTAGTGTTCTTCCTTTCCCTTTTTCTATGGTAGGATATTTATTTTATTTTATTTTATTATTTTATTTCTTGCCTCACAGGTGTGTGGTCACTCGGTATAGCCTTCTAACACAGCCTGTTTCTTGTGCAATATAATAGGGCACTGATGTCCTCATATGATAGGAAGCTACATGTAAACAAAACGGATAACCTGCATAAAATTTCTGGGTGAAAGTGAATGTTATTGATAGACCCTTATGTGAGTGCAAGCTTGAGTCAGCAATGAACAGAATAGTGTGGGACCCTGCAACACATCTGCAACCTACAGCTTCCATTACAAAAATGTCCTTACGTAGACAGTAGCTATGGCTCTTGGTGGTGTCTGCAGTGCACGCTGGGTTATGGAGTGGAGGGATCCAAGTTCATTCCAGCCAAGCCACCTTCAGACCTGGAGAGAACCCAACTCTGCTTTAGGGCTGATTAGCCCTCTTGATGGGGACTAGCTAATTAGCCTGGGCACAGCACCATTCTGCTGCAGTTATTACCCAGCTCCCCAGATCCAAGCGTTGCATCGAGCCTTAATGACAAACTAACCTGGGCAGGACTCACTTGGGTATCCGGTGTAAGAGACACTATGCCACTGAGATGTAGGGATGGCTTTTGACATCTTAGACCTGTGTTCTCTAACATTATTTGTGTATGTTGTGAGAAATGCTCTCCACAGGATAATTTCAATAGCATTTTTTAGACATTTGTGGAGTTACACTGTTATTTCTGTGGGCATCACCCATATTTTATATAGGCAGCTGTTTTCTAGGCTGTGTGAATGATCCAGTGCGGAATTTCTGTTGCAATGGGTTGGAGATGTGTCTCCAGGTCTGTTACAAGCTTTTGACGATTCCAAGCCACCGATTATTTTTTCACATCTTTACTGTGCCCTGATGATATAGCTGAGCCTTAAAGCACCCAGCTGATAGGTTGATGTGTTCCGAGTCTTTCAACAGCTCTTTTCAGCATGCCTCTTTTATTTCCTAGTATGCACCTGTGTTGTACACAAGCGCTGCCATCATCTAATTGTCACAGCTTGCACGTGCCAAAACAATACTAACAAGACCGATCTCAAGGTAAAGTCATGGTGGTTATTTTGGGTCATCGTAATTTGTGAATCCTGAGGTTTTCTGGGTTGCTGGGGGTTGTCCTGTCATAGAATTTGCTCTGTGTTGTCTTTATTCATAGATTTTAAAGTGAGGAAGAGCGATAGGGACATGGGTAAAGGCCATGCAATATCATCTGGTTGTTCTTCTGTTAATTCCAGTAACTGGTTGGACCAGCACATAGTTTAGGAAGGCATGGTGTCTTCATTGGAAGACAACAAGAAATAGCATATCCGCTGTTTTTCTTGGTAATTTTCTTTCATGATTAACCGTGTTGCCATGAAAATTTGGTGCCCAGTTCTTAATGCGGATTTCTCTGGCTTTAAAATCTAACCACTGGTCTTTGTGATGCCTCTTTTTTTCTTTTCTGGTAATTTAAAGTGCTCACTTAGTCATTGCTCCACACCTTTACTCTATAAAATTATTTATGTTGTAATAAAGAATCCTTGCGTAACTTATGTTTCTGAAGGTTTTCTTTCTTGCTAGTTTTGGCTGTATTTGGCTGGAGTAACATCCCCACCTAAAACTGCCCTGTATGTTGCATGTCTCATTTCTGTAACTGGAAATTATTTAATAGCTGTTTGAGGAAAATTCAGTTGAAATATTTTTAATTGGGAGGTAGGTCTGTATTGTGTGCCATGCAGAAACCTTCTTTGCAGTGCAGATAAGCAATTGCCTTGGCTCGTTATTTCTTGCCTCTGAACTGCTGAGCTAGACTTCTTGAAATGACCCCTTGCCAAACCAAATGAAAATAAGTTAAAATGCTTAAGGCTAAAGTGCAAGTTAAACACTGAGTCTCCTCACCCCTCTTTTAGGATTGTGACGTGTTTGTAACACCTCTAAGCTACTTTAAAAGAAGGCAAAGGTGAGGAGGCACCACTCACTTTAAACTCACTATTTCAGTCGCACCCTGGACTTCCCTTTGTGAAGTTGTGGGTTGCCCCTCAGTCCTCCAGGATCTGCATGTTGAGACACAAAATGGAAAGTAATGAAGAGGTTCAATGGGAGTGGGTTTCTTCAGATGATCTAACGTTTATTTTCTAAGGTGTCTTTGAGATCTGCATGATTCACAGTTGGAGAAGAACAAGGTTAAAAAGGCGGATGAGAGCAAGCGATAAAGCAAAATGTGGGCCTGAAATGAAAGACTGTTAATAACAAGGAGGGTGAGAAGAGGAATGAGAATATTAGGAGGAGCTGGGAGAACTATTCTATACTAAATTTAATAAAATCAAGACTTTGACCTAAAGTTACATGTTTGCATATAGTATACAAGTTAATAATTTGAAAACTGCTTAGCTACAAAATGCCATAGCTAATGTAATTTATATGCGGCATTTGAGCGTGATAGGTTTGTGATGAGGTAATCCACACTTCTAATTCAAACTTGGTTTTAAGAATTTAAAATTAGCCAGGCAACCCTTTTTGAAATCTGCTTTGTCAGGTAGTCCAGCCTGACCAGCAAGGAAACCAGAGCGGGCTCGCAGCAGGTGAGGTTGGTCGCTCCATGTTCCCTTGCAGTAAACCTCAGTGAGGTGATGGATTGGGACATTTTCTGAGTTGGAATTGTTTTCATACTTTTGCACTTAAATGCCTGTATGTCAATGAACATCAACTTACATATATGTATTTGAATTTTAAATATGTGCTTTTCTTTTGGTGCCTCAGGTGACTGAACAGAGGTTTGGTATCAACATTCCTCATAAGTTCAGCGTCCACAACTACAAAGTCCCGACCTTCTGCGACCACTGTGGCTCCTTGCTCTGGGGAATCATGCGACAGGGCCTGCAGTGTAAAAGTGAGCAGCTTCTTACTGTTGCTTTTTCACAAAATACACATATTTTTAGACTCTTGATGCACTGTGTGGGCTTGATTTGTGCAACTTTCAAGAGAAAGCCGAGCAATGAATATTCATCTTTGCAACAGTTAAGAAAAACACTGATCTACTTTTTAAGCTCAGGCTTCCAGAGGGACTCTACTTTGCACTCTCAGCACAGCTTTGTTTAACTGGCATTCTTGAAAATATTCTTGGGTATCACTGCTTCCTGCGTTCATTTTTGCCTTTAGCCGAAAGCTTTTCCTCAGCTAATGAGATAAGGCAATGAAAAGGCATCCGAGGGGAAAAAAAGGTCATTGCTTTAGGTTGACTGCCCTTGTCTGTCATACTGTTAATTGATGACAGAGCATGTCCTGGTGTTATGGTTTTGTTTCACTGATCCAGACTGTGAAATCATATGGGTAATAAAGAGTTTCCATTTGCCTTCATCTCCCACAAGAGGGTGTATGTGTCTCCACACATGAGATCAAGAAAGATTTTAGTTTCCCACTGAAGAATATATCTTTAAAATTGGATACCTGCAAATGCAGGGGAAGTTTTTTGTGAGTTCTGTGGCATTATAAATCCTAATTTTACCTGCAGGCATAGCCGCATATTTGTATACCTGACAAACGTGCTTATGCATAACTTCAGGCAATGTGGCATCCTCCTTAGAGAGTTTGGGGTATATTCCTGATTTTCAGGAGTTTCTTCTCTTATGAGAGTCCTAATCTTATTTCTGCTGAGATCAGTGGCAAAAATCCTTTAGTTTAAAGACACAAGGTAGATCCAGATGGGTATGTTTCCTTTAGCAGAATTGCTAAATTATTTCTCAGCAGTAAATCCCTCCAAGTTATTTTAATTGTTCCTTTGCTTTTAATTTCCATCTCTACCATCACCCTGGTCAGTCTGTAAAATGAACGTCCACATCCGATGCCAAGCCAATGTTGCACCGAACTGTGGGGTGAACTCAGCAGAGCTTGCTAAAACCTTGGCATGCATGGGTCTGCAACCAGGAAGCATTTCCCCAAATTCGGTGAGTCTTTTTCTTTTTTTTTTTTTTTTTTTTTTTTTTGTGTCCTCTATTTAGAACATTTACAACTGAGGCTTTATATGGGTGCAGGAGAAGTCAGACCTCAGGTATGGCAGATGGCGTTTGGGTGGTGGACTGCATGAGTAGGGTGTTACTGTCTGTGGCTTGTAGCAAAGGCTCCACCTGGAAAATGGATGTCTTATATCCAGGTTTACCACAAAGGAGGCTTTAGTCTATAGGTGTTGCTTTGTTGTCTGCTTATGTTTCACAGTGGTGTGACTCCATTGACTCCTTTATCTGTTTGGCATGAATGAGAGGAGAATAAGACCCCAAAATAATTAATGGTCGATATAATTCATGCCATACATTTTTTTACATTTCCTATGAACACAAATGCACTGGCTGTACATGTGGGTTGGAACAGAGCATAAGAAGAGCTCAGCAAGAGGCCTAGGTTGTCTTCCCTGCTTTGTTTTTCTGAGTGATTTTGGGGAAACTGTTTCACTCTTCACTACAGTTTCCCCAGCTAAAATCTGTGGTCCCCATCAACATATCATCAACTCTGGTCTTTGCTGTCCAAGCCAGGGTCCTAGTGAGCTTGTTGCCAGGGTTGGGAAATATGTATGTAATTTCTACTTGTCAGTAGTTAAAGCATCCTAAAAATCCAGCTGTTGGTATATCTGAGTCTATTCAGAGAGTTTAAAACACACTGTAAGATCTTGAGAGAAAATGCCCATAAAGTGTAATGGAAATCAGAGCTGTCACTTGATAACAAATTTTTATCACGTTTCCTCTGCCAGCAGTTTTGAAAAGTGATTTGGCTTGAAACCACAACAACCCATAATAAAATATTGGTCTATTTATCTCTATTTGACCAACAAGAAAATATTAAAACCCGAAACATACTTGCCAGACCTGGTAAATCCTGTCATACAGTTAGTTGGCTACATCAGTTGGCCACCCGATTCTGTATCAGCCTGGCCTGCTTGTTAGGCTGTGCTGCCCCTTTTCATTTCAGCTGGTTT